TCTTTAGGCTCAAGCGTCTTCGTAAAGATATCCGCTCTGTTGGCACCGGAGGCCAAGTGTACTACGCGGGCCCGGCGACGCTGCTGTCGCTTACGCATGAAGAAGTACCGCAGCTGGATGTGCTTCGCTCTGCCCTCAAGTCGAGGCTCCTAACATAGGAGGATCATGGCCCTATTGTCAGCGTACATAACCAGGGCAGAGCTAGGCCGCTCAGCTAAGTCAATGAGCAAGAAAGTCAGCCAGCGGAGCTCCTGTGCGGCCATGGCACCAGCGTAGATCTCAGCCTCACAGCTAGACTGGGAAACAGACGAGGAGCGGGCGGACCTCCACAAGATGGCGCCTGCACCAAGGCTAAAGCAGTAGCCCTGGGAGGACCTGAAGGGTCTCACCGTCGTCTGCCCACGAAACGTCTGTGTGCCGTGTAAGGACCACTAGCCTGTGTCCTCCTAGCACTAGCCCTATGCCCGATATACTTGCAAGATAACACAAAACCCTCTTAGCTGCCGACCAGTGCTGTGGTCGATGTCTACCTGTCGCAAAAACGAGAGCCAGGATGCTGAGAGGGTATGCGAGACCTGGGCGGGTGCAAGTCATCAGGTACATGAGGCAACCCATTAGCTCTGCGTAAGGACCACGATGCTCTACAGACTCCTCAGGGACTGGAGGCGAGAGCCTGTGATCTACTGGTAGAGGTGTAGGCTGTGCGGAGGAGAACTGAAGACGGAACCTCTGAAGACCCTGGAGCACCAAGTGTGACTATGTGAGAGTGATGGTGCATGCTGCTCTCTCCCGGGAGATGTGCAGGCCAAGGTAACGGCGCAACTCTCCTAGGTCAGTGCAGGTATGTCTCCTCAGCACACGAAGGCCAGTGCGTCTCTGTCTGAAGTAGAAAACACCAGGTCGTCTAAGTAGACAAGGATGTTGCCATACGATCGAATGTGTCGAGGAAAAGTTGCACTATCGATTGGTACAAGGTGCTTTTATTTGTCCGAAGTACATCCGGTAACCAGGTTTATCCTATCCAAAGGGAATAGACCCTTCTAGAAATAGAATCACCCTGCGTATAGCCATGCGAGGCTATTGGCTTTAAGGGATTACGGTAGGATTACGCTAGATATAGCGCGCCAGTACATCCCGAGCTTGGTTTGTGATATATTTATAATAATAGGATAAATCAAAGGATAAAGAGAAAGGAGGAAGAGGAAACCAAATGGGATGAGATAAAGATATAAGGAATTAGGATAATTAGAAGAATGAGGTAGAGGAAAAAGATGGAAATTAGAAAGCAGTGTAACGGGGTCGTACTCTCACACTTCCCCCCCTCAAAGCTGGGTGGTAGAAGTAACACCCTGCTTGACAAGGTAGTCGCGAAAAGGACGACGAGTGTTACCCATCTCAGATTCAGGAACCCAACTATCCTCAGAAGGATCATAACCCTTCCAACAAATGAGAAGCTCCACGGTCCCATTCCGATGACGCCGGTGTGCGAGCACGGACTCGACCTCGTACTCAGTTTCAACGTGGATGAGGACGGGTGGCAGCGGCGGGGGTTGGCATCCGGCGAAGACTGTGTTAGGATCTCAATATGGCTTTAGAAGTTAGACATGGAAGGCGTTGTGATATTGCGGGTGTCGAGTAGAACTTGGTCTCCCATAGTGATGGTGTGGTCAGTGCGGTGGCGATCAGCTTGGCGCATCTGTTGCTGCTGAATGTCGAGGAGGCGCTTGTGGGTCCGATCCCAAAGCTGATGCATCGTCATGATAAAGTCGTGTGCGGGTTGGACTGTAGCTGATGCTGTCGGCTTTTGTGGCGTGAGCGTGTGGCGTCCGAAGCAGAGGAAGAACAGTGTCTGTCCAGTAGCGGCGTGAGTGGCGTTGTTGTAGGCAAACTCCAGGACGGGCAGAAGTAAGTCTCATTTAGAGATTTCGTCTTTGCATGCTGCGCGGAGGAGCTGCTCCACAATTTGGTTGAGGCGCTCGGTCTGTCCATCTGTCCGCAGATAGTAGGCGGATGACATGGCGAGTTTGGTCCCAAGCAGAGACATTAGTTCCTTCCAGAACTTGCTGGTGCACTTGGGGACTCGGTCGGAGATGAGTGTGGTCGGAATGCCATGTTGTGAGATGATGTAGCGAACGAATAGTTCTGCTGTTTCTTCAGTGCATGCTGTCGTGTGTGTCGGGCTGAAGTGTCCCATTTTGGAGAATTTGTCGATGACGACGAGGATTGCGTCATGACCGCTAGTGGTAGTTGGTAACCCGGTTATGAAATCCAGGCTAACCACTTGCCATGGCTGTTCTAGGACAGGGAGAGGCTGTAGCAGTCCTGCTTTTTTCTGCTTGCTGCTCTTCATCCGCTGACATGTCGTACAGGAGGTGACGAATTTCTAAACATCGTCTGCCATGTGGGGCCAGTAGTAGTGCTTTGCAATACTGGTGAGCGTTTTGTTGCTACCGAAGTGTCCCGCGTATAGGACTTCGTGGTATTCTTCGAATAGTAACTGGCGCAAAGGAGGGTAATTGGGTACCCAGATTTGCGTTGATCCCTTCGGGTATGCGATGTCACTGTCGCACTGTAGCAGGTGTCGTTTCACTGCCGAAGGAATTTCGGGGTCGATGGCGTACCCGTGTGTGAAGAGTCCCTTGAGAAGTGGGTTCATCCATTCGACCTAGATTGCGGCAACATGTGCAGGCTGACTGAGAGCGTCTGCTTTGTTTTTGTGGCCGGGCTTGTACACGATGTCATAGTGGAAGTGTGTCTCGAGGAACTCAATCCACTGGACCTGCCGCCTGGAGAGGCTTGGTTGTGTCTTCAAATATTTTAGGCTGCAGTGGTCGATGTAGACGGTTGTTTTTCGTCCTTCGAGATATAATCTCCACGTTTTGAAGGCGATGATAATAGCAAGGTCCTCTTTGTCGTGTATCGGGTAGTTTAGTTCTGCCCCGTGTAGTTTCTTGCTGAGGTAGGCGATTGGTTGCAGTCCATTCCCCTGGTCTTGCATCAAGACTGCTCCCACTGCCTGGTCACTAGCGTCAGCTTCGATGACATGGTCGCGTTCGGGGTCTGGCAAGATGAGTACGGGTGCGGATGTGAGTGCTCAATTCAGCTGCTCCACGGCTTCCTGATGTTTTGGTTCCAACTTATAGGGTGTGTTCTTCTTCAGCACATTCGTTAGTGGTGTTGCGATTTTTGCGTACTGTGGCACGAACCTGTAGTAATAGTTTGCGAAGCCTAGAAACTGCTGCAACTCCTTCACGTTCTCGGTGTCTTCCATGTGTGTACAGCTTTGATCTACTTGCGGTCGACGTGAACTCCTTGAGCGCTCACCATGTACAGTGGCGGATTAAATTGCCCGGATGTTTAACACTTTGAAACATATCGGTATGCCACACATGTAGCGAAAATAGTAACACCCGATTTTTGCCATTCCGTTACAAGGTTTCCGAGTTCTGCTTCAACCGTTTCTTGCTTGGCGCAATTGTGACACAACCTGAAAGTGGGGTTGAAATTTACTCCTCGACTGTCGATGCGGACATTTCCAACCGAGCGGAAGAGTAGATCTATTTTCCCCCGTCACTCAGTGTGTACATCGTCACGCGCAATAGTTGCTACCTTAGGAGTTAGTCCGGAAGCGAGCCTACGACCGCATCGCCATGAAGCCGTTAACTGAGCGGAAGCGCGCGCGAATCAGAAGCATGTTGCGTGCGGGCCATTCGACTAGGAAAATAGGCACAGTTCTTGGAATAGGCAAGAGCACTGTGCATGATTACAGCTTGAAAGTGGCTGCCGAGACTAGTCTCGAGGAGGTGCGACCTACGATGCCTTCGGCCGGCCGCCCCCGCTTAATCACTACCCGTCTCCAACGCGGATAAGTACGCGCGATTACAAGCGGCGAGGCGAAAAGCTCTGTAGAAGCGGCAAATATGTTGTTGGAGAAGCACGGTCTCGCCGTAGACTCGAAGACGGTCCGGAACTCATTACGATCCGCGGGCCTGATCGCCGTGCATCAGCCCAAGAAACCCAGGCTCTCACCGAAAAACATCCGAGATCGTCTCGACTTCGCGCGGTCGCATGCCGACAGGACGCTGGAGGACTGGAAGCGGGTGATTTGGTCTGACAAGACAAAGATAAACCGCTACTGCTCCGACGGACGTGCGTACGCCTGGATTCGCGAGGGCACCAGCCTTCGGAGCCATCAAGTCCAATAGACAGTTAAGCATGGGGGCGGTTCTGTGATGGTGTGGGGTTGCATGACGTATGAGGGGGCGGGGTTCATGTGCAAGATAGATGGCAGGATGGATGGGCCGCTGTATCGCAGCATCTTGCAAGATGAGCTCAAACAGACCATCGATTTTTTCAAGCTTTCCCCCTCAGAGGTCATTTTCCAGCACGACAACGATCCCAAGCACAGGTCTCGTCTGGTCCAAGATTGGCTTGGGGAGCAGGAGTACGCGGTGCTGGAATGGCCGTCGTGCTCCCCGGACCTTAACCCGATTGAGCACCTGTGGGCATACTTGAAAAGGCAGCTGGGGAAGTACGAAAAGCCGCCAAGTGGAATGCTGGAGCTGGGGGAGAGGGTGCAGGAGGAATGGGACAAGATACCGGCGGAAGTGTGTGCAAACCTGATCGACAGCCTGCCGAGGAGGATCAAGGCAGTGATTCGGGCAAAGGGACGCTGGACTAGGTACTAGTTTTCCTAGAATCTAGTATGATACCTTTTTTCGGTACAAATTGTCCGGATGTTATCCTATGCTATGCTTAGGTGTTTAAGGACCATGTGTGGTACTACTTTGGTGTTTGTCAGCTCGAGTGAGTGCTGTAACTGAACTTCTCAGCGTGTATGCACACCATACATTAAGGCTTAATGTTTACACCGCTGCACTCATCAAAATGCCAAAAAAGGCTGAACATGTGGACAATTTATTCCGCCACTGTATCATAGGAATTGGACTTTCTCGAGGGCGAATTCGCTCTTGGATCATTTGACGTAGAATCGTTCTCGTCGGAGAATGTCGAAGATGCGTCACAGGTGTTGGACGTGCTGCTGCATGTCGTGCGAATAGATGAGGATGTCATTCACGTACACCACAACGCAATTGTCCAAGAGTGGGCGTAGAATATGGTTCATTTCGGCTTGGAACGTTGCCGGTGCGTTGGTGAGTCCGAACGGCATTACCAGATACTCGTACGACCCGTACCGAGTTCGGAAGGCAGTTTTGTGGATGGAATTGTCCGCCATTCTTATCTGCCAGTACCCGGACTGTAGATCTAGTTTGGAAAATACCGTGGCTCCCCGAAGGTGGTCAAGCAGGTCATCGATTCGTGGTATTGGGTATTTGTGCTTGATGGTTTGCTTGTTGAGAGCTCGATAATCGATGCACATGGGCAGGCTTCCGTCTGGTTTTGGTGTGAAGAGTACTGGGGCACCGTATGGCAAAGTGGATGGTCGGATGAGTCCTTTTGCGAGGAGATACTCCATCTGTTTCTTCATGTCGGCTAGCTCCATGGGGCTGAGCCGATATGGTGCTCGGAAGGTCGGCTTCGAACTTAATTCTTCCACGATCTCGTGTTGGTGCGTTCGGTATGGCGGCAGCTCGTTCGGAAGGTCGTCGGGAAGAATGTCTTGGAACTCCTTCAGTAATTCCTTGATTTTTTGTGGAGTTTCTGAGGTTTTCTCTTTGTCGTTTTCCACCTCTGTTGCTACCGCTAGGAACCCGGTGTCGGTTCGCTTTACGTTCTTCTCGAATTGTGCGAGTGTCTCCACTGGGATATCTCCTATATCGTCCCAGTAGGGTAGCTGGATTCTCCTTCCATTGTTGTAGATGCTTGCGGTACGATTTACTCAGTTAATCTCGGGGTTGAGTCTTTTTAGGAAGTCTCGCCCGAATATCAAGTCAAGCCCTCTGATGTTGGTGATGGGGAGTGCAGGTTTCCAGTGCAGTGGTCCGATTTGTAGGTGTAACACTGCTTCGCCGTGTACTGGTAACTTGCTGCCGTCCACCATCGTTGCAGAGAATTCTGAAGGCTTGTACTCTTCCCGAAGTCGATTACTACCTTGTCGCAAACGGTGTGTAATGCTCCGCTATCCACGAATTCTTGGAGGCGTTGTCCTTTGCAGATGACCTCGAGCACGAGGGGCGGGCGCTGCTCGGAGTACCCGAAGATAGTTTTGTTAATGGGATCATAGGGTACATCCCAATATTCCGTACACACCTTTTTCTTGTTATCTTCTCGTGGGTTAGCAGCTGGCCGAGGCTGCTTGGAGAAAGTCTCTCCCTCAGGACCCTGAGCATTCTTGACGACTATGTGTGTCGTTGATGCTGAATTTGCTGAGCTGGATGCATCCGGAGGAGGAGTTCGAGGATTTTGCAGCTTCTTGTAGACCCCCAGCTTCCTCTTGAGCTGCTTCAGCTCCACCGACGTCTTCCCTGGGGAACGGGTAGTCGTTGTGGGCTGGTGTCGGGAGAGGATGTTGACTCCGTGGAAAGGTCGCCTTCTTTCCACAATCCTTAATTTTGTTCCCAAGTTTTCCGATACCAATATGACCTCCACAAGATTCTGCTTCTTCTGGAGTCCCTCTCGAAATTTCTTCAAGGCTCTAGCCCCTCGAGAATCAGAACTTTTCATTAAAGCATCTTTATAGGATAGCTTTAACGAATCCTTATAATTTCTTGGGTCTTCTCGGAGTTTCCTGGTCTCGGCAGAGTCCTTTTTCGCGGAGTCATATTTTTTCTCGGCGATTTTCTTTGGTGAAGACTGGTCGTGGGGTGGAGATTTTTCCCCATCATTTCCTCCTGCTCGCGTCGAATGAGCTTCGTTGAAGTCGATTTTCCCGGAATCCCGCGGTCGCTTTCGGATATTTCCTTTTTTCGCCAGCTAGATCCGCAATCACTGGCGAATTCCATTTTTTGTCTTCTGATTAGCCGAAGACTTTCCGCCATTGTTGCGTGCCTGATACTCTGCACGTGCGGCTTTCATTTTGTTGCAGTCGAAGATTCGATGCCCCGGCACCTCGCAAAAATCACATGTGTAGTTGGTGTTTTTCGTACGTGACCGCCAGTCAAACCTGTCGATTTCCATCGGGTCGGCGAAGGTGGGGTGAGCCGAGCGGTCACCTTGTTGCGTACTGCCGACGTGCGCCCGTCGTGTTTCGGCGTTGACCATGTCGAACCGCTCTGGTGCTGAAACGACGTCACTGTAGCTCCCGTAATTTGTCGCTGCTACACTGGCGGAAAGTATTGCCCGGATAATATCCACTTTTAGGTTCAAACAATGATTCGAATGCTTCTAAGTGAGGTAACACTGAATCTCCGAAGTTGTTTTGTAAGTTACGAGTGCAAGTTGTACAGAGGTAACACTTTTGTCATTATAAGTGGTCGCACTAAGAGTGATGACAAGATTGTCGTCGCGTGAGTATATCTGGACAGTTTCAGCCAAGCGGCTGACTAGATATGTTTTCGACAGCCGCATAATCTCCATAGTTGGTCCCGCAAGTTTTGATTAGTCAGGAAAGAGGTTATACCCGAGGCTTCGACTAGGCCGAGATGAGACCGTTAGATGAGGCACGTCGCAGACGGATCTTAACCCTATTGCGGAGGGGGAATAGCACAAGGCGAATCGCAAAGGAGCTTGGCGTGGGGAAGAGTACGGTACATGATTTAGGACTCAAGGCTATTTCAGAGTCTAGCCTCGAGGATGTGCGACCTTCAATGCCCACGGCTGGTCGTCTAGGCATAGTCACGGATAGAATTTGTCGTGGGATCGTTAGGGCGATTTCTAGCTGCGAGGCGAAAACCTCGAAGCACGCAGCCCAGATCATCGAATCGCAACACGGCATTACGGTAAATTTTAGGACGGTGCGTAACGCGCTCAAATCTTGCGGCCTTGTCGCAATCCAACAGCCTAAGAAGCCATGCCTCTCTAAGAAAAGCATCCATGATAGGCTCGATTTCGCACGGGCCCATGCTGATTGGACCGTCAAGGATTGGAAACGTGTGATCTGGTCGGATGAGACCAAGATTAATAGGTTTTGCTCTGACGGCCGTGCATACACCTGGGTTCATGAAGGTACGGCCCTCCAACACCACCAGATCAAGTAGACCGTGAAACATGTGGGTGGGTGCTTGATGATTTGGGGCTGCATGACATATGAGGGGGCGGGTTTCATGTGCAAAATCGATGGTAGGATAGACGGGCCGCTGTATCTGAACATTTTGCAGGACGAGCTGAAGAATACCATCGACTTTTACGAGCTTTCCCCCTCGGATATGATCTTCCAGCATGATAACGACCCCAAGCACAAGTCCCGTCTGGTGCAGCAGTGGCTTCAAGAACAGGAGTTTGGGGTGCTAGAGTGGCCATCTTCAAGTCCCGATCTCAACCCCATCGAGCACCTCTGGGCTCATCTCAAGAAGGAGCTGGGTAAGCACGAGATGCCTCCCACTGGTATGGTGGACCTGTGGGAGCGTGTACTGGAGGAATGGGAGAAGATCCCATTCGAGGTGTGCACAACCTTGATCGATAGCATGCCCAGGAGGATGAAGGCGGTGATTAAGGCGAAAGGGCGGTGGACCAGGTACTAGTTTTACAGTAGTTAAAGTTGCTGCCTGCGCTTGGCACTAATTGTCGGGATGTACCGTGATTGCTTATGTTTGCCTTCATCTGTTAACTACAGTTGTTTCCATCAAATGTAAAGCATTGTCTTGTGTTCTTATATTGGCCTGTATACAGTGGGTAAGGCCTTCAATCAAGGCTTAATGTACACATGCCCTTAATCAGCCTAAATTCATAAAAGTGCAAAACATGTGAACAATTCTTTCCGCCAGTGTACCTGTCGTTTGACGTCGGGCTTCAGCCCGGCGAGACACGACTGTACTTTTTCCCCTTCGGTCAGGTCAGGAATGCGGTTATAAAATTCCTCCATCTATCGCGTGTACTGCGCTACACTCCAGAACTATCGATAGCGATGATTTTTTTCCGGGGCAAGCGTTTCAGCAGGTCGGTGCGGAACTGCTGCCACATGGCTTCACTGTGGATGAAGGTACTCTTTCCGCCCATCCACTCGAGTGCCAGTCCTCACATCAGTGTTGCCGCGAGTCGTACGCGTTGACCATCCCAGACTGGTGAGCTCCATCCGATGGCTGTGAAGTAGATCTCCATGCCGGCGATCCATCTGCGGGTGTCGGAATTTTGATCGCTCGGATCGAACGGCTCAGGTGGGCGCTGTTTCGGAGCCTCGAGAAACTGGTGCGCCTGCTGCGTCGTCACCGTTGTCGTATCGTGCTGCGCGGCGGCAAGTTGAGTTACTCGCTCGAACTCGTTTCGCCAAGCTTCGCGATCGGCTCGCATCTCCCCCTGAAGGGCTGCGATGCTCGCGAAGAGCTGCTGGGTAACCTCGGCGTTGTCAAAGTTCGCCATCCTGTTCATAACAAGCGCGGAGGGGTTAAGTCAGAAAACGCGGAGCTGGTGCTTACCAGAATCGGCGCCGAATTGGTCGCCCCCGGCGGTTTTTCTAAGCAGGTTTTCCCCCTGCTTCTGCTTAGCTGAGCGCGGCTGAGTGAGAAAAAATCTGATACCAATTGTTATAGGATCGAATGTGTCGAGGAAAAGTTCCATTATTAATTGATACAAGGTGCTTTTATTTGTCCGAAGTACATCACGTAACCAGGTTTATCCTATCCAAAGAGAATAGACCCTTCTAGAAATAGAATCACCCTGCGTATAGCCACGCGAGGCTATTGGATTTAAGGGATTAAGGAAGGATTACGCTAGATATAGCACGCCAATACATCTCGAGCCTGGTCGGTGATACAGTGTAATTATAATAATAGGATAAATCAAAGGATAATTAGAAAGAATGAATAGGAAACCAAATGGGATGAGATAAAGAACAAAGGAATTAGGATAATTAGAAGAATGAGGTACAGGAAAAAGATGGAAATTAGAAAGAAGTGAAACGGGGTCGTACTTTCACAGATGTAAAACGGGGCTTGGCCAGCACGAACAAAGAGCGAGGGGTCTGCAGATGATGGGAAGACCTGCAGGTCAGCTAACATAGCACGAAGCGTGTCGTGCCACTTGCGAGGCACCTGCCGCAGGCAGTACACCGGGCGCCAAAGGAGCCACTGGGTCCGCGGGGCGAAGGTGCCGGTAAAGCCTGGCGGGCGACGCAAGTAGACCTGCTTGTGCAAACTGCCCTTAAGAAATGCTATCGCCAAGTCAAGAAAGTGCAGCTCGTAGTCACGCTGTGCTGCTACGTGTAGTAGCGCTCGAAGCGAAGTCATCTTCAGGGTGGGGGCGAAGGTCTGAAAGAAGCCAACACCCTCGCGCTGAGTTTAGCCTCTAGCAACGTAGCGCGCCTTGAACACTGGCGCCTCTCCAGGAGGGCGCTTCACCTTGAAGAACCACCGCCCATCGACTACGTTCACCCCAACTGGGGGAACTGCGTCGACGTAGGTGCCGGTAGATCTCCAAGATGCCATCTCTGCGTCCATGGCATCTATCCATTGAGAGGCCCAGAGTCCCGAGGTCGCCTCCGTGTTAGTGCGAGGGGTCGGGATGTCAAAGGCGTCTAGGTCCCCCTCGGGGACTAGCAGCATGGAGCAGAGATGAGGCGCGGCCTCGGACAGGAAAGCAAGCTCGTACTGCTAGTCCTCCAGGACGTCATTGCCAAGGGCAGGAGCACCCTCGATGGACGGAGGACGTGCAGGGTCAGAGACCAGAGCAGAGGCATAGTCAAGGCGGTGGGTAGAGGCAAAGTTAGCCACGGCAGCGACAAGCGCGTCAAGATTGGAGACAGGAACAGATGGGCCGATAACAAGGGAGGCAAGGACTTGAGGGACAAGAGGACTAGCAGCACGAAAGAAGTCAGACAGAGGAGGTGGAGCGACAACAAGCGAGGACAGAGGAGGCGAGGGGAGGAGGGGAGGGCAAGACACGTGGGAACGAAGCAACATGTTGTCACAGGAGAGACAGGAGAGACAGGACGAGCACAAGAGGGACGATGGGACCAGAAGTGGGATGGAGGCGTCGGATCAGGAGACATGGGAGGAGTCACAAGAGGAGAACGAGGGGGGAAACGCGCCGGAGATGAGTTCAGTGGAGGAAATACAGGGCCCTAGATATGCAGGAGAGGCGGCGGCTGAGGAGGTGCAGGCGTGCAGTCGGGGGAAGGAAGACCGAGGAGACGAAGGGTGGACACTGCGACGACTGCTGCTGCTGCTGCTCCACGCCGACACCAGAACCTCCAGCGCCACCACGACTACCCCTGGAACGCTCCACTCCAGCACCCCCAGCAAGAAACCTCTCCAGCACTGGTGCCACCCCCAGGACTGCCGGGACAAGCCACGAGAGTAACCCCAGGACTAGCACCCTCCTCAATGCCAGCACCCCCAGAACTTGCGGACCCCTGCAGCGGCTACTGCTGCTGCTGCGGCAGCGACGACGGCTGCTACTGCGGTGGCTACGGCGGCAATTGCTGCGGCTGCGACGGCGGAGGAGGAGACATCGGGGCGGAGACGGGCGGCGAAACCGAAGCCGTGGGGCCCCCGGAGTCAGCCAACTCCTCCACCGGAACCACTGATGGGAGGGGAGTGACGTGAGACACACCAGATGGGGCAAGACGGGGAGGGGGAGGAGC